TGGGAAGCATGGGCTGGATGACAGAAATGCTCCTCCACCCAGGAAAAGGGGATTTCAGGGCTGGGATATCTCCCACCCACCCACCTCCCACCCTCCTCTCCGCCCAGGTGTAGGTCATTCACGCCCACTCCTGGAAACAGCCAATCACCGCGCAGGTATGCATCTCCAGGGCAACCAATGTTTCTTAAACTGAGGGATGTGTGCCCAGCCACTGGCCTTCGCCGGTACTGTGCAGCGTTGGAAGGGAGCGCACGTCTACCTGTTTCAGGCCAGCCACGAGGGTCGGGAGGACCTAGAGTGGGGTGCAGAGGACCAGGATCTGAGGTGTCCTCACAGGTACGCCCTTTTATCAGTGGACAGTGGCAGTCATTGTTCTTAGAGTACAGTTATTATGAGATAAAATGAAAATATGATAGGGCTGAAGTTGCTTTTGACAAGCTCTGGTATAGAATTGTTTGAGGGATGGTGTGAGGCAGCCAGGAAGAGAGTAAAATGCTAAAAGCCTAGCATGGTGGCAAGGCCTGTAATCCTAGCACTCTGGAGGCTGAGGCAGGAGGATTGCTGTGAGCTTGAGGCCAGACTGGGCTATTCAGTGAGACTCTATATCTCAAAGAAAACCACAGAGCAGATTATTTTTCCCCTTTGTTTTTGGGGATATTGTTTCTGGCAGATTTTTACCTTTTGGTTTTTTTTAAGACAGAGACTCACTATATAATTCAGGAGGCCTTAAAGTCTATGTAGCCTGGCTGCTTACAATATTGAACAATGAATCCTGGAACTTTGCCCTGAGCTACATCCCCAGCCTTTATCTCTCTCTCTCTCTCTCTCTCTCTCTCTCTCTCTCTCTCTCTCTCTCTCTCGATGTATTTATTTGTTATAGGGTCTCACTAGGCAGCTCAGACTCATAGTGAGCCCCTCACCTCAACTTCCCCAGTGCTGAGATTACAGGCATGTGCCCCCATACCTGGTTTCCAATGGCCCCTCATGTCTCCGGGCCCAGCCTGGCATGCGCTACCAGGCATCCAACCCAAGGCCTTGCACTTGCCAGGTAGGCAGTTAGACCGCTGAGCTCTCTCCCTGCCCTCTCTTTTCTTTCTTGAGACAGGATCTTGCTGAATTCCTCATGCAACTGCCAAGACTTCCTCAGCTTCCCAGAGTACTGAGATCACATGGTAGTGACCATATTTACACGATGATTTTAATCATGAAGAGAAGATGAAGTAGATGTGGGAGCCTGGGGCAGGAGTATCACCCCAAGTTTGAGGCTAACCTGAGTGACACCCTATCTTAGAAGGGGGGGGAGGGTTGAAAATATAAGAGGACAAGGGAGCAAAAGTGGGAAAGGGGGCTTGAGGGAAACCCTTGGGCCTTTGCTCCTCCGGGCTGCAAGGCTGGATCCTGTCCTCAGGTATGGGCTGGTTCCGGGACCCCACTCAGAGCCTCTGCTCCTCATGCTTTATTCCCATGTTGTATGATGTCCTTTACTACTTGTCTTTTTGGGTGTTTTTTGTTTTGTTTTGTTTTCTTTCGGGGTTTTTTGGTTCTGGGAATCAAACTCAGGACCTTACACTTGACAGGGTGGTCCTGTGCCACTGAACTATATCCCCAGCCCAACTTTTTACCTTTCAATTGTTTTTGGTTTTGGTTTTCTGCTTTATATTTCTTTCTTTTTTTTTTTTTTTTTTTTCCGGGTGAGGGGGCAGAACCAGGGATTGAACTCAGGCCCTTGAGCTTGCCAGGGAAGCACTTATTCCACTGAGCCATCTCCCCAGCCCCTTCAATTGTTTTTTTAAGTGCCACATTTTATTTTTATTATTTTTTTTTTTATGAATTTAGGACAGGCTGTACGGGGTCTCACTACATAGATCAGACCCGTAGTGATTTTCCTATTTTTAGCCTCCCAAGTGCTGGGATTACAGTCGAGTGCCGCTAAACCCAGTCTCAAGGTCTCAGCATGCCTACGGTGCTGGGCCAGCATGGTACACTGGGGATCA